CACACACACACACACACACACACACACACACACACACACACACACACACACACACACACACACACACAGTTACAAAACAACCAGTTGATTCTTGGTTTGTTTGTTTTTTCTTCAGCTTTGTTTTTAAATAAAATTTCAAAGTGAATGATTTGGACAGAGAACATCATTCACAATGACGTCTCYAGCTTTTCACTAAAATAACAAAATGGATGCTGTAAAAGCAAAAGCCAACAAGGACAAAGAGTCTCTTGATCCATTATGACTCAGCTTTGAGATAGATGCTTTTATCTGAGGCTCATTAGCTTCCCAGCACCCTCAGAGTTTTAGCCTTGATGGTTGTGGCTAATGTTCAGTAGGCAAAGTCATTATATATTGTGAGGCTGTTGTCAAAGTAAAGATTTTTAAAAGTATTAGAAGAGTTGAGTGACTTTAATAAGTGGTGCTGTGCAGGTAGAGGTAAATGTTCTTATTTGAATGCTRGAAAGCAATWTATAAWTAAAAAACAACTGCTGAGTTCAGAAAATGTTACAAGGCTGCCACCTGCTGGTGAATATACTGAAATGTTGGCATGAACCCTGCATTTTTAGACATGATTTACAGAAAAATAAAAACAAATATAGGCTGCATATATATGTTTGAATCACTGTTGTGTTTCAGCAGGTAAGCTCTACTCAATATAAGAAACAATTTCGTGCATAATACATTTTAAAGTTTTTTTTTTATTTGTAAAATTTGAGGAAGCCCTAATAAAAATGCATGAAAATGCTGCACACTGCTGAGCTGCTGCAGGCTAAATTAAACAAATGAGTCATGTCAATTCAACAGCTCAAACAGCTGCTGCTCTAATGGGCTTCTTAAATGAGTAGGTTGTTTGTAAAAGCTGCCTTTTTGTTTACAGTATCCCAACTTGCAAATAAATTCTTGTGATAAAAGCAAAAAATAAAAAAAATAAAGAATATTCCCTCCATTCAGCTGATCTTTTGTTAAATTCCCTCTTGTTTTGGGATATTAATGTTTGTTTTTAATCAGTGGTCACTAGTTTCACTGCCAGCTCAGCCCTCAGTCACAACCTCACCCACATCACTCCTATCTGCCTCACTCCCCCCTCCTCATCCACCCAGACTCAGACAGCCTCTCCAGCCCCACCCGCCGCAGCCTCAGCCTGTCGGACGGCTCAGAGGACCAGCTGGATCGCCTCCAGCAGGTGGAACTGGCCAGGATGACTCCCATGTCTCAGTGGAGGGCAGGCACCGTGCAGGCCTGGCTGGAGGTGGTCATGGCGATGCCCATGTACATCCGCACCTGCTCAGAAAACGTCAAGAGTGGGAGGGTAGGATGAAACTGATACCTTATGTTCTCTTTTATTTTGTGAAAAAAACTATAAAAAATTAACAAATTTTGAACAGAGTGATTTTAGATTTAAAAAAAATACTGCAGTACTTATTACTTTCAAATTTGCAGGTTTTACTGGGACTAACAGATGAAGACCTGGAACTGGGTCTAGGTGTCAGTAGTGTGATGCATCGCCGAAAACTCCGCTTGGCCATTGAAGATTACAGAGATGCCGAAAATGGAAAAGAGTAAGGAAACTATTGAAAGGTTTTGTTTTGAAGACGAGATGAACTGGTGCTGTTATAGCGCCATCTACTGGGGACTAAATGTAAAACCCTATCATTTGTACGGCATCACACTTCAAAGGTTAAAGGTCCTAGATGTTCATCAGCCTAACATAAATACAATACCTAAGTTCAGGAGGAAACACATTTTTTTTAATGCCGTTTCTTTCTTTTCTTTCTTCTTTTTTAGCTGGAACTAATAAAAACATTTTATCATCCAATAATCTTATTTGAAGTTGCTCATTCAAGTAGTTCATATAAAACTCAAACTGATTAACAGTCAGCATCCCAAATATGCATACATATTCAATTTAATAGCTCCAGTTTGTTTTTTTAATAGTTTGTGAATATTCAGAAATTACCAGCATTTTTAAAATCATGTTAAAAGAAAATGAAGAAATCATCATAGATTAATTTATTTTATGGAATGTAAACAATAAATATTAAAAACAATAACAGACTCTTTGAACTTCATTTATTCTAAATCCATCCGGAAGTTGTTGGGATATTGTACCCCAAATTACAAACACCGTTGTAATTATAGGGAGTCAGTAAACAATGAAAGTTTTCAAAATCCAAAAGTGTTCCTACAGAATTTTATGGCAAATCATTTACTCATGATTGTAATCATTATGCTTAGGCAAGAGTAGTGATTTTATTTCAAACATCTTTCTGCTGAATGAACTACTGCAAAACTTCTTTTGTTGACAAGTAGATACAGTTGGTTTTCTAAAATGTACTTTCTTTGTAAAGTAACCCTTTAGAAAAGTCCTGTCTGTTTGCAGGCTGTCCAAAGCTGCCGATCTGGACCACCACTGGGTGGCCAAGGCCTGGTTAAGTGACATTGGATTGCCTCAGTACTCCCAGGCTTTTCACACCCACCTTGTGGACGGACGCCTGCTGAGCTCTCTAACACGTCGAGACTTGGAACGTTACCTCAACATCACCAAGAAGTCCCATCAGGCCAGCCTGCTGCTGGGCATCGAACTGCTACACTTACTCCATTTTGACAAAGAGGTGAGCAAGAGAAGGTTCCAGGAGTGCATTTAATCGAGTTTACTAAGAGCTGTTAGTTATGTGAAACAYGTTTAACTTTTTTTGTTTTTAGGAATTGCAGGCTCGCAGGATACAGTGTGAGCATCTGAATGTGGATCCGCTGGTGTGGACATCCCATCGCGTTGTGAAGTGGGTCAGAGATATTGACCTCAAGGTAGGACCGAAAAACAGTGAGACATAAACAGTTTTTAGTTTGACAGCTAAGGAAAATAGAACTGATGAGAAGAATAGCCGACAGCTGAAGAAAGACATGAGAGAGGATCTTACCTCATTGAACTTGTGCACAAAGCCTCACTATCACAGGCCAGTGAAGGTATTTATTTTCACTCATGRTTCTTTGTGTCAACAGAGTGAGATAATGAACATAGTGATAAACGGCCTTTGTTACTTTAACTCAAACAGCTATTACTTGATTACCACACTTATCATGATACCACACCTTTGTTGAGGCTGCAGATTAACGTCACACTGACCACATTCACAGATAACTGATAAAAATGTCTGGCTTTGCAATTTATTTATAAACAACATGAATTTTAATGTATCCTCACAATAAAAACTAAATGTTGAAATTACTTGAATAAGTTTCGTTAACTGGCTCCACTTAACTGAGTTGAATACATGTAGCTAAAGCCATTTACCGATTTCCTTTTGAAGAAAATGTGTAAATTTCAAAAATCCCTATACTCTGTTCAATACAGTCCATTTCTTTATTTTTTAGGAATTCGCTGACAGTCTCCTACATAGTGGAGTTCATGGAGCTGTTTTGGTGCTTGACCATGCTTTCAACACTGATTCTATGGCAACTGCACTGGGGATCCCCAGTAACAAACATATGGTCCGCAGACACCTTGACGAGGAGCTAAAGACACTACTTGATTCTGCWAGGTGAGAAAAAATGTCCACACATCCCACAATAAAAGTAAAATGAACAATAGGATTACTGCAAAGCCAAAAAAGAAAGAAAAACCTGCTGCTGCCTCAGATCCTGGTCAGATATTTGCTGTTAGTTTATTTGCTAAATTGTGTTTACCTAAGAATTCCCCATTGATTCCCTTGTTTGGGAATTAGCAAACAGCAATAAGAGTAAAACTGATAATGCTGTATTTGTAAATGTCACATAAAAAGTATCATTGCCTCTTTTCAGTGGTGCATGTTGTGGTCCCTAAAATGCTATTTTTGTATGCTCACTTGCAGAGTGGACGCTAAAAAGGACTATGAGCATTTAGGTTTAGGATCTCCACTAAAACTGTTTCGCCAGAACTCCCTAGGCAGACCCCCCAGCGCTAACAGCCGACACACTGAGGACGAGGGCTCACTGAGGAGGAGGGCTGTCAAGGTGAAACAAAACTCTTAAAACTAAGGAGTTTCACTAAATAAGTGTAGAAGTTGGCAATAGATACTCATTCTGTAACGTTGTGAATATTGGGGTCCCACAAGGCTGATGTATTAGTCCCATGTAGTTTGCCATGATTGCTGATCGCTCTTCAAATTATACTGTTAAGTTTGTAGATGATATTACATTATTAAGGCTTATGGTTTAGTCACAATACCAAATATTAATAAATTAACTACAAGGATAAAATCAATGAGTGATGTTGAAATAAAGAGGTGTTTTGTTGTTCCAGCCCCCAACTGGGTTCAGTCCCAAAAACCGCAATGGGCGAGACCTGAGTTGCCATAACAACTACGGCTCCCTGCCTCGGGAAGTTCGAGACCATACTCCACCCAGAGCTGATGGAAGTCCAGTCCAACGTTACTCCAGCAGTGAGATCACAAATGTGTGACGCAATTGAGGCTGGAACTACAACAAATGTGTTTGCCAACGATATGAACCTGAACATAAAAGTTGTGAGCCTACACAGGTCAAATCATTGCACTTTATAAAAAGGACGATTCTTTTTATAAGTTTCCAATTGACGTAATCAGAGCATGGGTGGTATCTTGTTATTTTGATCAATAATTGACATTCTTTTATGTCTGACTCGTGATGAAGGATTTAAGCTAAATGATTTTTAAATTAAAATTACAGTATGCATATAAACTAGGATGCAACTTGCTAATTATTTTATTTTCTATTTGTTGTGAACAAACAAATCAGTCCTGGGTTAAAAAACAACTATTTTTAAAACAAACTGCAGGGAAAACATAAATAAAAATTTCAGTGCTTTTGTGCCATTGAATTTGTCTTTGTGATATCTTGTTAGTGTAGCTGAAGATGGAAGTAAAAAAAAGTACTTGAACAGAAATTTAAATATTTTTTTGTTTGTTTATGATTGAAAGTCCCTTTTGTCATTTTACACTTCTCTGTGTGAAAACAAAATGTAGCAACTTCTTTGGTGTTTTATACTGTGAAGTAAACAAAAAGTATTTAAACAATACCGGCAAAGGGTCACAGCTGAAAGGATACTGAACGGAAGTTTATGGAAATGAAAGAATGTGTTTTTGATACAATAAAGACCACATTTCAACCATGTTTGAACCAGATACATTTATTCAAATATATATA